ATTATTGTATTTAAAAAAATCTACCAGTTTTATTTGTGAACTTTTATAACAGTAACACAAGCAAAAAGTCTACATATTATATTTACATATAGAATTTTAAAATGACCTATTTCTTAATGGTGGTTTCGGTTCTATGAGTAAAATAATTCTTACTAACTTTTATATTTTCAATAAAAACCAATCAATCAACATATCTAATGCAAAAAAACTTTAAAATCGAATTAGTAGTTCCTGAGATTAGTGCGTTCAAACAAACAAAAAACTCTGCCTCTATATAATATTAGTATAGATTAAAACCTATTTCATTGGCTTCTAAGTTCTATCCACTCTTCCAATTTCCGAAAGGCCTGCGAAAGAAAATATGTATTAATAAAAGTATAAAAAACATAATGGTCGTGACCATCCATCATGATTTTAATACTTTATATGGCTTAATCATGCCTTTGGTTTTATTTATATTATAGCAACTCGTTTGCAAATTCAATACTGATCGCATTCATAGATAAGATTGAAGCCTTGTTTGAACAATAAAGAATACTAAAATAAATAAACGATTCATAGCCCTAGGCACTGGCTAAAGGTTGACATACAATTATGTAAAATAGTATACTTTGTTTTGAAGTTACTCACAAATAATACTCTCCTTGCTTCGCTTGCTAAGCTTTTAGTAACGCCCTGTGCGTGTCCCAGTATTTTTACTATATATAATTTTCAATATGTGCTATCACTATATGTATGAGGGAAAGTTTTGTACGAACACGAAAATAAAACCGCATCACGTACCTGTCGTATGTCCTGTGTTTTATTCAGTCCTTTTTAACGTCCCACCGCTGGGCACGGGCCTCTATTCAATAAGAGTGGGAATGGGCAATATTCCACCAAACTGGCCGAGTATAGATTGGACTTCACACGTCCGAAAGGCAAGCGGTAATGATGTTTTAAATTATTCGCCATATGTCAGAGATGTGAGACCCGAACTTTGAATCCGCTTCACTCGGTTTCTCAATCAAGTCCGTCACCACTGGGCTACCACTGCCTTAAGAAAAAAGTCATGAACGTTAGAATACGTTCATGACTGTTGGTGGTAAAAAATAAAATGTAGTACCTTAAGTTATACTAAACAGTAACAATGCAACCACGACCTATTGAATTGTACTTTGATTAAATTCTAAACCCGTACTCGATGATCGTGACCAATCATCAATAACGCTGTTTACGATGAATCTAAAATAGCGTTACTTCTTGTTATGGATATGCTTTCTCATAATAAAAAAAAATTTAAATAATTTTCTCTATATGCATCTGATTGCTAGTAATACTATGTTATTGGTAACTTTATTGGTCCATATGAATTAGTTTTACTGTATAAGATAATTATAAATAAATAAGTATAATAAAATTTAATTTAAAGTTACGTACGTATGTATTTTCCGTATCAATTCAATTACTTTATATTAAAATTAATTACCATTTGGCCCACATCGATTTAACAATACATTAGAAATTATCGCATATGTACCTATGTTATAAACTATAATTTGACTTCTACCAATATAAACTTTAAAGCTTTTATAACGCGAAAGTTTGTGAAGATAAAGTAGAACATATTTGTTAATCTTTCACGCAAAATTTAGTTAACGGATTTGATGAAATTAGTTTTAGGTATTACCTACGTTTTAACGTTTAGTATAAATTTCTGATAGATGAGATATTTTCCCGCAGTAAAAAGTATCCTATATGTTGACCCGGATAACCAGGATCACCATATTAAATTTCATCAAAACCCCTCCAGTGGTTTTTCCGTGATGCGGTCACAAACAGACAGACAGACAGACAGACATGTATTCTAAAAACTATAGATTCGGTCTCTGTATCGATGATAATGACTATTTCAATAAGATTTTTCAGTTATATTTTTATTATATGTATAGATAACACATAAACATCTTATGAAGATATAGTAATACATTACAGTACTACACGAACGGAGTCGCGGTAAAATGCTAGTAATAAGTATGTATATATTCAATTTCGACAAATCGAAAATATGGATGGATGTCGATGACTTCAATAACACAAAAATTGGTCCGAGATTTTTTCAACGTTAATTTAAAGTACGGTTAGTAAAAAATATAAGCGATCCACATCACATCTTAATCAGATGATCGTAAAGTAAACAATACGTAAAATATTGTTATAAAAAAATAATAAGTAAAAGACTACTCGTACTCTCCATAAGTATCTACCCTACGGCTGTCCAACCCGCTCTATAGACATAATTACTAAATTACACCGGCTTAGTATGCAAAACGTGAAAAATAAATATTTTCCAAGTTTATGATGGCAAGTGATTGTTATGCCGACGAATTTGGTATAAAAACGATTATCGACCATATAAAACTTGTTCTCGCTCAGCAACTTGATTGGATGATTGACGTATGGGCAATGATGGAGAAAGATCGTAATAACATGGTAGCGCATGTAAACATTCATATGATTAATATTTAAAGATAAACTTCAAAATGCAAGTAGCGTTTTTAATACGATTTTGCTATGTTATGTTCTTTTTTGTACATAAAATAATAAAAATGGGTGCGTGTAACCTTTACGCGCGGTTGAAGTAACACTTCTTTGACAAATATTGCAATTAAATTAAAACAAATCAATAATTAAATAACGCATCCTAGGCATATTAGAGTCATATATTTATAGAATATCATATACGAAAAGAATATAATTAATTGCTTTGTATGGGCTGGCACCGATTTCGAAAATATTTGATTAGGTATGTATTTAATAGGTAGGCTTTAATTACTTAGCCAAAGCACATCGACTTCGAAAATATTTGATTAGGTATGTATAGTAAATGAAAACTACCAATCAGTTATTTTTTACTTTTTAGTGCTTTTGTTGGAAGTCGGTTTTTATTTTTTTTGTTAAAAAGTTTTTATATTTTAGAAAATGAATTTGTTTTCCGCTCAAAAAAATTAACTCGTACCTAGAGGCGAATCCGAGCCGAGGTAAGAGTGAGGCGCTAGTAAAGTATATAAATATTCCTTTAAAGAAGTGAAGAGCAAAGTACTTAATGTATTATGCCAATCGCAATAACTTTACAAAATACAACACGCATGTCCCGAGGCAACGGTGCGGCGATCCGTCAAAGGCTTAAAACAGACTGAGTTTACTCGTAAAATATACTACTAATTTGCTGATAATTTACACCCTTTACTTACAAAACGTAATGGATATATTTATTTTTGTATCAAGTAATACATGTTTGGGAAGAACATAGGACTTTTTATCCCGGAAATCATCCGTTAAGGGGGTGAAAATGGGGATGAAAGTTAGTATGAGGAATCAACCTAGTATAATATAAGATTAAAGCTAAGTGCTCCAACCTCTTCTGGCTATGGTTATGATTATGAACGGTGGTAATAAATTATTATATCTTAAAATCGAGCGAGTCTGTGCTACATGCATGTCTTCAACTGCATGAGAAACATAGTAGGTATTTGTTTCTTCGTCAACTTGTTGCCATTTTTTGTTCGTTTTTTTTTGCAGTGGAGGTATTTTTTTATGTTATGACACTTTTACCAAAGCAGTTTAATTACTAAATATCCTACACTTGCTAGTCTACAAAACTCATATTATGCCTCAAATAAGCATTAAACCTGTTGCAAAGCCATCGTATGTTAATGCTAAATTTATAGGCCGTATTTGCATAGAAAATTACGCATCATCGCTGGGTTATCTAGATATTTATAACTTAGTTGAAGCGATATTCATGGCTCATCTAATTCAATTCAATTTTGCAATCACAAAGCTGTAGAGGAAAAGGTTATAAGAAAATCTGTTGTAATTCTAAGGCCATTATAGCAATTTTCTTAAGTACACTCTTATTTTGTAATAATCTTAGATATCCTGCGATAATTGAACCGCACATTTCTCTGGGATATGACGTGATAATTGCTAATAATTTTACACTAAGGAAACAAGTATGCAATATTCTATTTTGCAAGTTATTGATAAATATATATCGAAGGCACTAATGCTCTCGAACATCTTAGTCTTGTAAATAAGTATAAAATAGCCGTAACTGATGGACAGATAACATAGAGAGTAGTTAAATAGTTGAGTTAGTTATTTGGAATTCAGAGTCATTAATATTTGTCTGTATGAATATTATAAATGTGAAAGTTTTTGAGTATGTATGGATGTTTGTTACTCTTTCACGCCAGAACGGCTGAACGGATCTGGATATATTGGCACAGAGATAGGTTATAGTCCGAAATAACACATAGGCTACTTTTTATCCTGGAAAAATATACGGTTCCCGAGGGATAGATTTGTTTTTGTTTTTCTAGAGCGAGCGAAGCGAGGGTGAGCCCTTAGTATTTGATATGTAAAAGCTTTAATGTGGCTTTATAAAAATCTGGTTCTCCATATAAACTAATGTTTATATAAAGAACTATTTTTTAGTTAAAATACCTTAGGGTTAAGTAAGTTAAATAACGTAGATATTCAAGCAAAGCAAAGGAATGTCACTAGATAAAAAAAATTTAAACTCCACACTCCCAACGTTTAGTTATTGAAATATTAATATAGTTGTTTAATTACATATGTACATCGAGATTTATTTATTAACTAGTGACTCACCCTGGCCTCGCCCGGTTTCGTCCCAAGGTACGTTTTAATGGTTAGTATGGTATAGATAGTTGATCCCCTACTATGTGAAAAACAAATCTATCCCACGGGAAATGTACATTTTTCCGGGATAAAAATAACCATGTGCTATTCCGTACTATAATCTATCTCTGTGCCAAATTTCATCTAGATCTGTTCAGCTGTTCTGGCGTGATTGAGTAACAAATATCCATCCAAACTATCACATTTATAATATTGACGGGACGAAATTGATTCAAAAAATCTAAATGAAAATACTTTGATACAATACAATAGCTTGAAAATGTTAATAATAATTATTCCTTATTTGTCCATAGGTATGCAAGCCGGATATTGACTGCAGGTTACCGGAAAATAAGTGGCGGTACATAACAAACTTCACCTGCCTCGGTACTGACGATAAATTGAAAAAAGAGATGCGTTTGTCTTTCCCGAGTGGCCATTCGTCGTTTTCGGCGTATACTATGATTTATTTTGCGGTAAGTTGATTTTTGTTTGATTTAATAACTTTAAAACCTCGACCATTTTTTGACAGTGTTATTTTTTCACAGCTTTGAAAAGTACCTTCATAAATCTATTTTAAGTAATAGAACAATTTTTTTTTAATTTTACTTCAATTATGGTTTATTGGATAAATAATAATTTTATTTTGTTCTTCAAACAGATAAATTATGAAAAATATAATAACTATTGAAAAATTAAAGATTTATTAAATAAGCTATCACATATTATGCTGTGTGTTTTTGCGCTTAGATCTTTAAAACTAAGTACAAGTTTTACTATATATGTAAAATACTTTTTATGCAAAGATATTTAAAAACGATTTAATACTAAAATTAGGACCTAAAACTAGCGTTATTGTTTATTACCCACAAAAGAAGTCATGAATATTCTACAATGCATAACAGCTTCACTGATTTTATCAAAAAATTGTTAATTATCTCCTAATATCCAGTAGATGCCACCTGTTATACTATCAGTGTTTACGACCTAAATATAACTGTATGGTTTACTTTGCATCTCATGAATAACAATTTAACTGTATTTATTCATACTTTTTAGTACTTTAACACGGAACTGACACATTCTCCCCCATAACTCTATAGCGTGTCGATGTTTGTTCCGCCCCAATAGGTAATCGTAGGTAAAATTTACCCTAACAAGTAAGCAGATGTACGTACTCGCATGTTCTACAAGTAACTGGCATCTTCTTAGGCGACGAGAAACTTCCACCAGTAAAAATATTTAGTTTCACTTATCAAAGATACACAAACGAACAGTTAACTTAACTCCAATATAAAAAAAATACTAAAAATCCAATATTAAGTTATAAAAAAGTGGCAAAGTTAGCTTTTTTGTAAATAATTCTTATTTTTAAATAAATTTTACTAGGTAAATATATAATATTACATTTTCACTATATATGGTGTTATTGTTAGAGTCCGAACAGAACAAGTTGCTATTAAATAATAATCAATTTTTACCTATCTATCAATATTATAAAATGGTGTTTGGATTGCTTGTAGTCTGTAGATGTCGTGTCCAAAGCATGGTCTATATGTGAGCAACAACATATAGACCATGCTTTAGACACATACATAAGTAAAATAACATTATTTTTATCCGGGATCAAATGCGTATCAGCAGGATAAAAAATTATTTAACTTATCAGTAAATAGCGTTACCCAAAAACATTAAAAGAAAATAATAACAATATTTACACGTGTGAAGTCGCGAGTCTAGTTAATAATAAATAATTCAGCCCTTTTTGTAACTGCAATCACGTTATCCAATTGCGGGTTGGTGAACTTTACACGTCTTGTAAGAAATACTCGAGTTCTTCTTCTCTCCTCCCCGTTTTCCTTTAATGTATAAGCTAATTAATTATAATATACTAGCATTGCCCGCGGCTCCGCCCGCGTTCAGATGACCAAAAACTAAATTCTTAGGTGTTACATATTAGTATACTCTTACATTGCAGTTTTTGTATTTTTCCTCAGAAATAAGATATTTTCCCGCGGTAAAAAGTATCCTAGGATCGCGCGCTACATCGCCCGGTTTATATAGCTTGAGCAGGCGGTCGAGCGATGCGGGGCAGAGGGGATGGACTCGCCGTAGGCATCTCAATGCTCGCCAAGCATTAAAAATGTTTCGCTACTAATTACTTCTAACAACGATATCTCAAAAACTATTCATCTGATTGATTTAGTGTAAAGAGCAATTTTAATCTGCATTAAATGACTAAGCTAACTAAAATATTCATTTGGATAAGGATTAATACCGAACTAAAGAAAAATAACTTTGAAAATAACGTAATGTTTTTAATTAAAAATGTTAACATAAAAAGTGGTTATTGTAAGTCAACCGTAAGAGATAGAGATATGCTATCGCGGACTTTTTTGTAGCATTTTTATAGATTTTGAATTCTCTAGTACATTACTTAACTGTATCTTTGCTAGTTTACGCGGCGTTCGCGTGGAAAGTTCCCATTTGGCGAGATTTTTTGCGACCTCTTCAACATTTGTCGCCGTATTTCAGCTAATTTACATAAAAGCATAATAAATTATATACCTAAACCTTCCTCAAGAATTACTCTTTCTATTGTTGAAAACCGTATAAAAATCCGTTCAGTAGTTTTCGAGTTTATCGCGTACAGACAGACAGGAGGACAGACAGGAGGACAGAAAGACGCGGCCGGGGGACTTATTTTTATAATAAGTATAGATGAGCTAACTGACGACTCCCTTTCTTCGCTCGGGTTTGTCCCTAGTGAAAAACAAAAACAAATCTATCCCACGGGATATCTATCCCGTACACTTTTGCGGGTTAAAAAGTAACCTATTACAGACTATAATATATCTCGAGTATCGATTGTGTAACAAATCCATACCAACTTTCGCATTTATAATATTAATAATCGGATTATCAATTAATCTATTCCAGTTGTACCTCCACAAGAGATTCTCGTGGCGAGGCTCCAAGCTTCTACGACATGGCATACAGTTTGTACTGATAATCATGGCGTGGTACACCGTCTTGACGCGAGTGTCTGATTACAAACACCATTGGAGCGATGTTTTCGCCGGTTTCTCCATTGGACTGCTTTATGCTATCATTGTGGTGAGGATTTTTGTTTTGTTAAATATCAAAGGCCTTAATTGTCTTTATATACAGTACTTATAAGAAAAATACAATTTTTAACATTTTTTGTCTCTGTTTTTTTATATTTATTAATACGATTTTAGCATTTTTTGGCTATTTGTTCCGGCTAATCTTTTAAACGACTGGACTGAATTTGACGTGGCTTACACTGGTAAATAGCCGATGATATAAGGAGAAACTTATACTACTTTTATTTTTAGAAAAAGAATTAGGATTCCGCTAAAAAACAACTAAACGTACCTACTTTAGGGACGCACCAGAACCAAGAGAGTTTAAGTCGCTAGGAATATGTAGAAAATAATACGTATACAATTTTGACCAATAATATAGGACACTGTCCTTAACACACACATCTTTTGTTATCGTTATTAGTTAAAGAATATTTTGCAAATAATATTTTTCAGTTATCTGCCTCGGTGGTGTAGTGGCTAGAATGTACTGCTGCACTCCGGAGGTCCTGGGTTCGAGTCCCGGGTCGGGCCAAGTTTAGTTGTTGAGTATTTCTGTATAGTAAGACTAAGTAACAGCTTGGTGTTGGGAAGTTGGCGGTGTGTCACCCCCGCGCCGAGAGAGCACGTAAATCCGTCGGTCCTGTGCCTTAACTCTCACCGGTCGTGTCGAGCAGTCGTCCCACCGGAGTATGAGTGACAGGAATAGAGAGTGCACGTTGTGTCTGCGCGTACACGCGCTGCACTATAATATCTCCTGCGCAGTTGGCTACTCTCAATAAGATTGGCCGCCGTGGCCGAAATCGGTCAGGAGAACATTATTAATTAAAGAAACCATTTTGTATTCCACAGTTCACATTTGTATCTGATCTTCGTAAATCCCCGCGTCGCCAAACCTCGAACCACGACAATGAACTGACAACAAACGGCAACTCCCGGTCGGCTGGTTGGGGGGTTTGACAATCCCCCGTCCATAGCTCCCTCAACGAGGACCCCTGACCCCCAAACGTGTCGTGGATATCTCATGAATATATGGACCTTTAATGTGAGTAATGAACTTGTAAATTAAACCCCAAATATCGTCTGGATACAAATTAAGTGTTGTGGGTCAAAAAAAACCTCTTTGGGCAGCTATGGATTTGAATGACTCCTAGATACCGTTGACTCCCAAAAGTGGCATTTTAATACTGGTGTTGGATTAGAATTATGTAGTTGTGTATGTAGATATGGAATGCATATCGAATATATTTGGTTTAAAGGTATTCTTAAATATTATATTAGAAGCAGGACTCGGATATGCCAAATACAAATTTTTGTTTAAATATCAATTTCAGTACATATTTTTTTCCCATTATTTTTAAAACATAATTAACTGAGTCCAGCTTAATAAACGAACGCAACGTAATGTATTTAAAAGTTAACAGTAAGTAGTTCATTATTGTAATATTTATGTAATGATAAAAAGAACGAAAATTATATATATATATGTATAGTGTAGGTATCTATTCAGCCCTTTTTAATGTCCCACTGCTGGGCACGGGCGTCCCTTCCGGTATAGTGTATACATAGAGTTAATATGAAGTACTAGCGGTTTCCTGCGGCTCCGCCCGCATAGTACATTAATCACCAACACATCAGTTACTAAAACCTTCTCCGAAACGCTGCATCTTATGGTATGAGTATTGTTCCGATCGGTTCAGTAGTTATCGCAGTATAACCGAACAAACAATCGGCTCTCCATTTATTAGTATAGATGAGATAGCAGCTAAAGAAAACATCATCTATAGAAAAAATCAATATTAGAAACGTTTTATAAAGAATATGAGAATTTAACTGATGATTAGTGATTATGGAAAATGGTAAGCGAAGTATGGTAAACGACGGGAATTGGAGTATTCGTAGTAAGACTGTGCAGAGTGCAAGTTGTGATATCATGTTATTTTGAATGTTGTTTCGGTCATAAAGCCTTTTGTTAAGAAAATAAAAGAAATTGAATTTTTTTATAATTTTAATAATTATTATAAATAAGTATAAATATTTGATTAAATTTTACTTATATGACATTATTATCGGTCAAAATCACTGAATTTCGCTTCCTTCAACTGTATTCAGCCCTTTTTAACGTCCCACTGCTGGGCACGTCCCTTCAATACGAGGGAGATCAGGCCATAGTGCACCACGATGGCCAAGTGCGGGGACTACACATGTCTTTCGAAAACATGCTAGGTTCTCAGAAATGCAGTTAACACGATATTGTCCTTCACCGTAACAACTAACTTAACTAATATAAAAATATTAGTTAAAATGGCCTAACAATGTAACAAGATTATCGAGAATATTCTAAAAAGAATCCTCAGAACAAAATTTCGTCAAAGTACTGACATCTATTAAAACGATCACATTTTGAATGTTAATAAGTAAAGGTTTACGAACTTGTCTAACGAAGGCTAAGTTAAGCGATCTGTGTGACGGATAGACTTACATATAATTTCTCGACTCCCATACAAATGTATATTTCATATTAGTTATTTTGTCTCGTCACGTATGAATTGCGTGTATGACAATATTATGAAAGTTTTTAGTCGGTTATCATATATTATGTGTACGGTTTTATATGTTATCGCTATGAATATAAAGGCGATTATACGTTATTGTGTAAAAATATTATTTATTTAAATATACCGCACATACTGAAGCAATAGAGAATTCACCAACAATACAAAAATATTTGTAATGTAATCAAGATTTTCGTAAATAGCAGATAGCTATTTTACACGTTTTTTCTTTTATTTTATTTTTTTATTTTATATCTGATATTTTTGAAGTTTTTCTTTAAATTTCTAAATAAACTTCTTTATATTCCGTTAGAAGTGAATAATACAAAACTAAAAGTATTATATTATTTAATACTAAACAGTAGCATTTTATACAAAAATATTAAAAAATCAACCTGAAATTAAACTGCAGTTAGATAAAAACAGTAGAAATAATTACAAATTGTACTAGAAATTTCAATTATTTTTTTTTGTTAAATAAAAAGAAATATTACATACTACCATCGATCAAAAAAGTACTAGATACACAATCAGCAACAAAAAATGTCCTCACCAAATGAGCGCTCATTTGAACATTTGAGCGCGCTTTTATTTTTTTAATGAAAACAACTTTAAGCATTGTATTTAAGGTTCAATTTACATTGTTGTATATTTATTTCAACTTAAATAATTACCTAAACACAATTGGTGACAGTTTCAAGAGAACTTTTGCATGGGATTGTGTATCTACTATCTAGTACTTTTTTGATCGATGACTACTACATACAGGTTTAAATAAATCTTAATACATTTCCTTTCTTCCATAAAGCTTCATAATGACACAGTCTAACACTAATTATAAAGAGTTAAAATTAGCTTGTATGTATGTACAATGTACATACATACATACATACATACATACATAAATACATACATACATACATACATACATACATACAAGCACATGGTAATCTACACTAATATTTACTAGAAAAAGGTTTTTTTTTATTCAACGATTAAAAACTTGTTGCTATTAAAAGTTTAGATAACTTTTTCTAATGAATGATATTATATTATATTGTTTATATATTAACTAAAAATATCTAAGAAAAAATCATATTTTAATTAATGTATAAAGAATATTGCCTAAATTTATTAATAATGTAATAATTGACCGTTGCTGTAGCTTTTAGTTTTTTATCTACTTAGATAAAGTTCATCTATTTAATTTCAAACCATTTTTTTGTATGATCACATGGACTTGGAATTGATATTTATGTTAAGAGGCAGCTAATTCTTTAACTTATGTACTTGATTTAAACAGCTAATTCTAAATAGTATGTATAATGTATTAAAATATTGCGCTTCAAATGTATTTAGGTATTTATTTCTAACTAAAATCTACAAGTACAATTAAATATATATTTTTACACATTACTTTAGTCAAGCTTTTTTGTAACTTAACTGCATTTAAAAAAAAACATTTTATGTAAAATCGTCGCTTAGCTTAGCTTTATATTAAAGCAATTAGTGAAATGCAAAATATTTTTTACTGTTCATTTTTTTTCTATAATTTTGTAACTGGAAATGTTTTTTTTTATTACAGATTAAAAAAATATTTTCAATAAACAAACAAACTTTACCAACTCTCACTCGTTTAAGAGTTAAATGTAAAAACAAATGGTTTAGCGATTTGATAGGGAGGTTGATGATTTTTATATTTACATATACATTTAAAATGTCGCAAATAATTATTTTTCGTTTATATTTTTCATTATTTGAATGAACTGCTTAAAGTTAAGCGACGAAAAACTTTTTTTTACTATATAATATGGCTCATGTTTTTTTTATTTGTAAATAAAAATTACCCAAGTCTTGAATTGGGGTTGTATTTTTACTCTGTGATATTATAGAAATGTAAAAAAATATTGCAGTTGTTTTAGTTATAACGTATTAATAGTATATTGTAGTTTTTAAGTTCTCTTTGGTGCATAATCTAGATAAGTTCTTCGAAAATTGTATCATAAAAGATTTATGTATATTTATAATATATTGTAGATAAAAAAAAAGAAAAATATGTATTTATATCATATGTTATCTGTTTCGAAACCTTAGTCTTGTGAAGTTTTTGAATTAAAAATGTTTGAAACAAAGAAAATTCACAATTTTGTGTCATTATCCGCATTTTATATTATTTTCTATACAATTGGAACAAATATATATATATATATATATATATATATATATATATATATATATATATATATATATATATATATCTTTATATTTTACTAGATATAGGGAATTTAAAATAATTCAACGATATTTATAACTTAGTCAATTATTTTATTTTTAATGTTATATTAAGGCCTAAAATGTAGCTATAGATTTTAACTAAATGTACAATATTTAATGCACCTAAATTATTTTATTATAATATGTACGAATAGAAAGCATTAAGCAAACACTGCCTACTACTAGTTTTGAGGCCGCATTGTATATTTATTTTTCATATATTATAAATGTAGGCGAGATATTTTAAAACGCATAATAAACACATTCTGATTCATATCTGTTGTTTTCTTTCACCATATTAACGAATCTACGATAAATTTTTAAGTGAATATTTTAATACTGTACTTTGAAAGTACAGTTTTTAAATACTAATAAATTAGAAAAATTCGTTTTGTATTTTTAGCCTATTTATTTATTAAAGATAATTCATGCAATAATTCTTTATAGAAGGAGAGCCCGATCTATGTGGTGGACCCTTTACTCTTTTTCCAGGCGAAATATATTTTTTAAACTAAAACCAACCAAATATCAAAATGTAGATCATTTTACAACAAATTTAATTATATAGGGTTGTGATACCAAAACATCTCCAGACTAGAGGTTTTTTAATTAGATAAAAGAAGCTTACTTTGCTTATTAGGTCGGAATCCATACAGTTTAGATGCAAAAAACATTCTCATATCTTTATATTACGTAAATAGCACTATTTAATTTAAAAAACGTAAATACTCTTTTTTTATTTAATCAGGAAGAGTGTGCACTGTGCAATGGTCGAACTTTTAACTTATAGTGCCATCTCTTAGATGTACAAAAAACTTGCAGTCTAAGCTTAGTTTCTTATGTCATACATAGATGGCGTTGACTCACAAGGAAAACCTTTTCAATATACAAAATGCTGACGTCAGTTAAATTACAAATTTAAGGCCATACGGTATTAAACTTTGTTTATGTTACATTTTAACAAAAAAAAACGAAATATCATTAAAAAAACTTTCACGTGTGAATTCTTGGACCGGTAGAAAAATATTTAGTTTGCTTTTCCATATATATTTAATATAGAACTTTAACCAGTGTTTTATAAGGATCAATTTTCTTCACTTTGAAAGCCTTCTCTTGCAATGACAGCGGTGACACACCTCATAATAGAGATTACCCGTTTTATCAACTTAGTTTATCATTGGGAAGCCGTTTGCGAATCGGAGTGTCGTGCATTTAATTAATTAAATAATTATTTTCAATGTTTCCCCGTCACTTATAATAGCGGCGTCGATCGCTTAAAGTTGTTGATTTTTTTTTTGTGTTTTTAAAAATGGCTGTGGATAAATTGATTTGGAAGATTATATTAGATGTCATTGTATTAGCATGTGGTAAGTACTTTTTTATCTTAACTTTACGAAATATTTTTATTTGCATCCGTTTCCTTCTTAGATAACATAGTGTACCTATATAGTGTACATACATAGTGTTTTATAGTCCATTTACTAATCAAGAGTAGTAATTTTTGGGCAAACTAATGTATTAAAGTGTATAACATACCTAAGTATTATATTTATTATAATACTAACGACTCAAACTCACTTCGTTCGGGTTCGCTTCTAGGTACGTTTTAACTTTTAACGGTTGGTATGTGATGGAATAGATATAATCGATCTCTTGCTCTATGAAAAACAAAAACAAATTATCCCACGGGAACCGTACATTTTTCCGGGATATAGGTGCTATGTGCTATTTATTCTTCAGACTATAATCTATCTCTGTGCCAAATTTCGTACAGATTCGTTCTGCCGTTCTGGCGTGAAAGAGTAACAAACATCCATACACCCAAACTCACAAACTGACATTTATATTATTAGTAAGTATATATTAATAATTAATAGGATTAAATTATATTATGTACTGATTGAGTAACATAACTTTCGCATACATATTTATAATATTTATAAGATAAACTTAAATTTCTTTATAAATTAAAAATTAAAAAAAAACCCCTACGCAAATTAATTGTCTTTTAACGATTACACTGGCACGCGTGAAGCACTTAATCGAGTAATCATACGCCAAAATGCCTTACATCATTATGGAAAAGAGCTGATACTCTTACACTGCTGGACCGATATTAATCAAACATAGCTAAGAACCACCGCAAGGAAACTGGCTCTCAAATGAAAAAAACCGCATCGAAATCGGTCCATCCGTTTTGAGAGCTACGATGCCACAGAGTGTCAGTGCTAACTCACACACACACACACACAGATATCGACGTTAAACTTATAACACCCCGACCCCTCTTTTTGCGTCGGGGGTTAAAAAAACTGAAATTTTAAACGAAGTTAAGCCTGTACACGAAGTATCTAGATATATTTCGTAAGTTATGTTTGGGATACAATAGAAGCCAATTAGGTTTTCAGTTTTTTTTTTATTTAACTAGCGACTCACCCGCGCTTCGCTCGAGTTTGTCCCTAGATACATTTTGACGCTTAGTATGGAATAGATGTTTTTTAAAATATATTATTTCTTGATATTTTCCGATATTTTAATAGTTATTCTGCTATTCGGGCTGAAGACAAAAATAAAACAAAGATAATAAAAATCGGTCCAACAGTTCTCGAACAAACAAATAAGTGTTGTAAACCCCGACCACAGATCATTATTATAACACTTCCCGATTAATAAAAACTAATAAAAACCGATTTCCAGGCACTAAAATGTAAACGGGAGTTTTCATTTAGAATCGATACCTAATCAGATATTTTCGAATTCGGTGCCAGCCGATGCAAAGCAAATGTAATATATTTCGATACACATATAAAACACATGTTTACCTATTAGATATTCATATCTTAAAATATTGTCACACTTAGGCGTAGAATATGTGCTCGAACTATACATTGAACATTTGTGTAATGAAAATCGATTTACAATTATTGGTGAAAATATCCCGTCACATAACCACAAAAATAACAGACGAATTGATGCCTTCTTGAAGTCGATCAAAAAATATAATTACAGCTGACCCATATCATCCCACTGCTGGGTAAAGGTCTCCTCTACACTTTTAGGTTTTATGGCCCTGCGCCAGAATAGGCCAGTTTATATGCAAAAATATGCATACCTATACTAATATTATAAAGAGGTAAAGTTTGTGAGTTTGTGACGTTGTAGGGGGTAGTCTCTGGATCTACTGAACCGATCTATATGAAATTTGGTAAGAAGATAGTTTGAGACCCTGGTAAGGACAGAGGATACTTTTTATCCCGGAAATCATTCCTTAAGGGGGTGAAAATGGGAATAAAATTTTGTATGGGGAATCGGAAATCGAGTCGCTAGTAGTATAATTAATTTAAACTGCCTCCGTGGTGTAGTGGCTAGCATGTACGGCTGCACACCCGGAGGTCCTGGGTTCGAGTCCCGGGTCGGGCCAAGTTTAGTTATTGAGTCTTTCTGTATAAGTAAGCCTCAGTAACAGCCCGGAGTTGGGAAATTGGCGGTGTTTCACCCCCGTGCCTCGGAGAGCACGTAAAGCCGTCGGTCCTGCCCCTTAACTCTCACTGGTCGTGTCGAGCATTCGTCCCACCGGAATATGAGAGTGACAGGAATAGAGAGTGCACTTGCGTCTGCGCGTACACTTGTGCACTATAATATCTCCTGCGCAGTTGGCTAGTCTCAATGAGATTGGCCGCCGTGGCCGGAATCGGTCGGGAGAACATCAGAACATCAATTAATTTAAGTATTATATTACTTTCATATAACCTTTACATTTCAAACGTTTAATCAATATATTATAGCACTTGACATGTGTTTTAATTTACAAAGATAAAGCCGCACTGACCGCCAATATTTTTATAGCGTCAAGAGCACTCGCGTAGATATGACAGCAAACATGTTCAACGGTATGTATAGGTACATAGGTATATGTATCTACGTCCTACGCCTTATTTAGTGTTTCATCGTTCCTTATGTACTAGGTCTCCTTTGATAAATACAGAGGTTATATGACAGCGACACTTAAGTGAATTTAATAATAGTTTATAGCTAGCAACACACCTATCGTATTAACTTCATTCTAAACGTTGATCAGTTACGAGGGGTGTTCAATAAAAAGGGAGAATGAGTATGTTGCCGGTAACTTTTATTAAATGTTATTTTATTTTTCGATATAGTCCCAGAAAAGAGAGCCCGTGATTTTTCCGGCGGAACGACTCGCCTTAAATTTCTTAGAGGTTGGAGACGATGGTATTTTCCAAGTCATAGAACGTTGAATGAAGCCACGTTTCATCCATAATTATAAATCGAGACAAAAACGATCAGGTTGTTGTTGTAACAGTTCCAAAGAAGCTCGAAAAATATCCAGCCTGGTTTATTTTTGTGCATCGGTAAGCATTCTGAGGACCCAGCGCACGGATACTTTTTTCATCCCCAAGCGTTCATGTAAAATGCTATGTACACTACCAGTCGAAATCTTTGTTTCTTCGGCTATAAAACGTATCGTAACACGACGATTTGCTTAAACAATTTTTGGACTTTGCGACCATTTCTTCAGTCGCTACCGTTGTGGGGCGGCCCGAGCGATGGTCATTTTTGGTGGATGTTCCTCCACGTTTAAATTTAGCGCACAAATGTGCAATTTTAGAATACGGTAAAGCATTTCCTCCTATTGTATCCTGTAAATTTTGATTTACTCGTTCTGTGGAGGAATTTTTCAAGCACAGATACTCAATAACCGCGCGCAATTCATTTTTTTTTCATTTTAGACAACACGCTACAACAGGTTGTAGACAAAAGACTTTCATTTTTTAGAAATCAATATATTCCAGCTCTACCAGTCAGTATTAACTTTTTTCGGCTCCAAAGATTTTTCGGCTCCAAAGAATTTGTACCTCATTCTCACTTTATTATAAACGCCCTACGGCCTTCAAGTTTCAACATATTATGCATATGCATTCCAAAAGAAATTGTGTAAATGATAATTTTAAAATATATATACATTATATGTCAAGAACTAATATTTTCTAAGCGCATAAACAGACTGACAGAAATAGCGACTTACTTTTATACTATTTTTATTTTATACATTTTTGCCTTGTTCTTTTTAAATTACCTTTTTATAGTTTTCTATAGGTTAACTTCATAAAACTAATACTATATAAATATAACATTTGACCAACATTTTAAAAGCAATAGAGATTTATATGGAATGTGACGCGATATTTTTGCAAATTTTGAACCGATTTTAATATTTTTTTAACTAATAAATTATATATTATAGGCTACATTCTCCAAGGATAGTACCATATAAATTTTAAGGAAAACATATTTTCTAAGGATAAAATAATAATTAAAATACATTTAAAGTTATTTGTATATCGGTGTACCTTAAAAAATAATAAGTTGAAAAGTTATTTTAAATAAAAATGTTTAATTAAACTTTTTTTACCAGCGCCAAGTGACCAAACGGTCATATTTGACATTTTATTTTAGCATATCGATAAATGTTATTTCGTGTGCAGGCGTTTAAAAGTCCCGTTATACGTCCTTGAGAAAAGGCAACGACTTATGCGTTTTATATATCTAACTGTAATGTAGAGCTGTCTTTGGACCCCATTAACTTATATATGAATAAGTAATATATAAGTAAAGTTTTCCCGCGGCTCCGCCCTGCTTTGCTCCCGAAGTTCGTAACGTGATACTAGATAGCATTTTTTTAATGTTGGGAAATGTATTTATCCATACCACATAGACTTACATAAGTACTACCCACTAAAACCCATCAAAACCTTCCCTGTCTTAATGGGGCTTAGCAGGATCGCTTACATACTTAACCACGACGCCCCGACGTCAGGTCTGCCGAAGCATACCACAAAAACAATGTGGTTGCTCTAACGGTCCATTCTGCCGTCAAGAGAAGTACCAGGAGCAACCCATATGGCACACTGCCCACCGAAGTGAGCCTCACAGTGCGTTTCTTGGCTTCGCGCCCGGCTGACTTGCCGGACGCTAATGAGTATATATTATTATAGTAAGGATAAAGCTATTAAAATATACCTAACTATACCTGAATCACAGGTTTACGATTTCTCCTTAAACGATGTATAGATAGATATATTCATTAGTGATATAAATTATGATTCATCAAACATTCATCACCAAGTGTAAAAGATAGATAGGTATATTTGAGACGACATACATTGTACACTCGTATCTAAATTCGACATAATTTTAGTTCAATCCGTATTATACTTCACATATTTTTTAATTTTTTAAATGTGAAAATACGTTTGTTTTTATCTTTTTTTTACCGATTTACATGGGAGTTCTGGCCGAGAGTAGAAGTTCCCATAGTGTATTAGTGGAAAAAGTAAAAAGTGGCATGGGGTTTCATCAAAACTAAAAAAAATGTTGAACAAAAAACTTATCAATAGATGGCATCATACATACGATGGATGATATTTTTGTTTACGTATAAAAAAATTAAATTTAAAATTTATATTTACGTATAAAAAATAAAATATTATGACACATTGTAGATCAACACCATCTATTGCCAACATAGTAAAACAAAAAAAAATAAAACAACAAGAAAAAATAATATTTTTTTAGTAGTAAAATTGTAGAGATCATAATTGTGTGTAAATAATAAAAAAAACAGTAGTAAGATTTGTAACCTTTTATAATACGGAAGGGGCAATGCACCGTGAAATTGGTGTTTAACCTCGATCCGCTACGCAAAGTGTTTTTACATAATGAAAAATATACTTGTTATTAAATATTTGCTTCTAAATAGTTTTATATTGTTTTTAAGACAAAGACTGTAGTTAGGAAATAGTACTTATATGTGAATAATAAATAATGTGTCATTTACTTCTGACAAAATGATAACACATCGCTATCTTATAATACATATACGATACAATCATATCTGACATTATAATATAACTTTAATCTATACATATAATAAAATTCTAACTGAGTCGAATCTGTACATTAAATATTTTTTGGAAAATCTTACTGAAATAGTCATTATTATCGATACAGAGGCCTAATCTATAGTTTTTAGAATTTTTATCTGTCTGTCTGTTACCGCATCACGAGAAAACAACGGGACAGATTTTGATCAAATTTGGTATGATGATAGCTAGCTATCCGGGTCAACATACAGGATACTTTTTACCCTGGGAAAATATCTCATTTCTGAGATAAAATACAAAAACTGCAATGTAAGAGTATACTCATCTGTAAAACCTAAGAATTTGGTTTTTGGTCATCTGAACGCGGGCCGATTTCGGCCACGGCGGCGAATTTTACTGAGACTAGTCAGATGCGCAGGAGATTTTATAGTGCACAAGTACGCACAGACACATCTTGCACTCTCTATTCCTTTTCCTCTCAGAATTCAATGGGTCGATGCTTCGACATTCGCGGTGAAAGTTAAAGTGCAGGTTTTATTTGCCCTCCGAGGCAAGGGGACGAATGAAACACCGCCAACTTCCCAACTCCGGGCTACTACTGAGAAAATCATAACAGAAAAATTCAGTAAGTAAACTTGACTCGATCCGGGACTCGAACTCAGGACCTCCGGATCTGCATCCGTACATGCTAGCCATTACACCACCGAAGCAGTTAAAAATTGGAAATATAACTTAATCAGTCTAGAAAAAATTCTAATGTACCTAAAGTAAATCAAATCTTAAAAAGATTGTGTCCTTAATTTTTATTATTGTCGCATCTTTATTATTTATGTATTCAAAGATCTGTGTAAATGACCAGTCTAGTACCTGTACTTTCACTTAGTAGTAGTATTCAGCCCTTTTTTAACATCCCACTGCTGGGCACGGGCCTTCCTTCAATACGAGGGGGATTAGGCCATAGTCCATCACGCTGGCCAAGTTCGGGTTGGCGGACTTCACATGTCTTACGAAAACTTGTAAGGTTATCTCAGTCATGCAGGTTTCCTCACGATATTTTCCTTCACCGAAAGACAAGTGGTAATCATGTTGAAAATGATACTCACATGAAAATATTAGAGATGAAGACCCGGGAATTGAATCCACTTCACCCCAAGCGAGCACGTCACCACTGGGCTACCAATGAATCATTTCACTAAATAAAAAGTTTATCTTGTATTTCATTTACAACGTTGTAAAGTAATCACAATTCGTCCTTAATTACTAAGAACTTTTTTGTCTCATTCTCCTTTATATTATGTAAACAATGAATCATTGGTTAAATTGGCACAAAGTACTTTATAATATTTATCTAGGTATCACTGTGATATCTAGTCATATTTATTAAACAATCAAGGTTGATGGCTGTTGTCTCGTGTCACGATATGACATGTGTCACTTTGGGATTGTCTATTAAACTACGTTAAAGGTTTCGAGTTCGATTCCCGTACAAAGTGAATGATTTGTTACCATAACGATGCTTAAATGTATCTATGTATAGAGTTTATTTGGCGATCACAATAGACCAGAAATGATCGCAGAGACACGATATAGCCGGCAAAATGAAATAAAAAATAAAGTTTATTATATAATTTTAAATAAACAATTCTTGTACCTATATATTTATTATTTTAAGATAAGGTATTGCTTTTGAAGTTTATCTACATAGGTGTCTTTTCTAAAAAGGCGCAAATTTTCACAAAAAAAACTTTTATTATAACTAATTAATTAAAAGACACTTTCTATCTGCTCTCAAGCTGACATTGTCATGTAGTACCATCTCGTAAATGTTTGTGGTACTTGCATTGTTGCCAATGGATGAACCTACTGAACGAGCGCCTACGCCGAGCGAAGCTCAGTCACCCAAGAACTTAATGTGAAAACTTGTCTCAACAAGTAACATTATAACTTATACGTCAATCAACTTAGTTTACTCTGTGAAATTCGTGAATCCTGCACGCCCTTCACCTTTCTTCACCATTACAGACACCAGCTCTATTTAAAAACTCCAATAGGATCCCATTAAAAGCGACAAAAGCCAACCAATAAATATTTATTGGTTTCTATGTGGCTTTTGTCGATTTTGATGGGTTTCTATTGGAGTTTTTCAACAGGCAGATGGGTAGCTTGATTCGAACTATATCGAACCCGCTACCTGTCGAACAAGATCCCATCCTTCATCTTTTTATAATAACGTTCATGGTCATATGTATGCCTGTATGTATGTATAGACTACATATTTTTTGTATTTTTTTTAAATTCGTATGTTTTTACTTTTTAATCATCAAATTTCTAGTACTTGACAATAGGTATGCCTTTGACAGGAAGTAGGCCAGAAAGAGGAATTAATATTATCCGTATTACCTGTAATACAATGTACAAGCAAAAAAGTAAGGTAATGATAAGTTGATGAGATGTTGACTGTATTAGGTTGGTACTATTTCCCGTCTGTTTCAAACAATGTATGGAAGGAACTCTTTCTTGTATTTTAGCTCTGATATAAACAATAAAAAATCTATTATAGAATCTGTTTACAATGAAACATGTAACATATACGACGTAGTATTAAGTATTGAGGATAATCTATACATATAATAAAATTGTAACCAAGCCGAATCTGTACATTAAATATTTTTTGGAAAATCTTATTGATGGAAGTTATTATCAATACAGAGGCCGAATCTATAGTTTTATAGAATTTTTGTCTGTCTGTCTATCTGTTACCGCATCACAGAAAAACCACTGGAGGGATTTTGATGAAATTTGGTATGGTGATAGCTGATTATCCCAGTCAATATATAGGATACTTTTTACTGCAGGAAAATATCTCATCTGTGAGAAATATATTTTAAACGTTAGAATAATAATGACCTTCTGACCGACTTCGACCACGGCGGCCAATCTCATTGAGACTAGACATCTGTGCAGGAGATATTGTAGTGTGCACTGTTTTAAACCACGTAGTAAATGCCATATGCATTTTTTTATATTCAACATATTCGATGAAAAGTAAATACCTATATCTAGAAAGAAAATAATCATCGCTTTTCTAAAGGTAAAATGCAAATGGCTAGGTTTTTAAGTACTATATTTATAATACAAAGATTTTATATCTATGTAAGCATTTTATGTAACTTTATATTTTATTAAGATTACGAAGTATACGAGTACCTACCTATATAAGACATAAAACCACACGCCTCGTTACATTGAAACTTTATAGTAATAATGCCCAACACTTTACTCAATCACTTTTATATTATGTATTACATACTACGGAAAGCTCTTATGTATCAGAATGAACGTGTATATATATATATATATATATATATATATATATATATATATATATATATATATATATATGATTTGATGATATATAATATTCCTTATAATTATTATAAAAAAAAACAGGCAGAATACGACAAAATTTCACGATACGCTTGGCTCAGTTTGTAGTGACCCTACTTGCTGTGCCAGTGGGCGCGGGACCGAGTCCCGGAGCATTCATTTGTGTGAATGACTGATGAGCACGAATGTTTGTACTCCAGTCATGGGTGTTTATATTTATAATATGTTTGTATTTAAAGTTATATATATGTACACTCCACATATATTTAATCTGCTATCTGGTATCCATAACACGAGCCTCGAAGTTTACCGTGGAACTAGATGGTGCTCTGTGTTAATGTCCTAACATATTTATATTTATTTATGAGAATAATTATTTTTCAGACTATAGATAAGCTTCATATTCTATTAATCATAAAATCCAATCAAAACCGGTATATTTTTTTAAATGTTTATTTAGTATTAAGTTGTACTTGTTTCACAATTTTTCCCAAAGTTTCACTAAACTATTATAAACTTTCCAGTGGCAGTGCCCATACTAATGATACACCTATTTGCGGAACCCTACCAACGCGGCTACTTCGAGTCTGACGTGAGTTTGAGGCTGCCATTCAAAGAGCAATCAATATCAGAAGGCCTGCTGGCAGGTATCGGATTTGCTTTCAATATTGCTACAGTAAGTCCATTTTAGTTTTATCTACATATTCTATACTAGCGACTCGCCCTCGCTCCGCTCGGGTTCGTCCCTACTTACGTTTTAACGTTTAGTATAGATTTCTCAGAAATAAGATATTTTCCCGCAGTAAAAAGTATCGCATATGTTGACCCGGATAGCTAATATCTTACCAAATTTCATCAAAATCTGTCCAGTGATTACAAGTTTTAACGGTCAATATAGATTCCTCAGAGATGAGATATTTTCTCGCAGTAAAAAATGACCTATATCAGACAGACAGGCAGTAATTCAAAAAACTATATCGATGGGTGCCTGGAACAAGACCGCAATAGCCATAGTAGCTGTTTTCCGATTAAGCCATTTTCGTAATCTACGGACCCTATTACACCTTGTGGATTTTTTTCATAAATTAATAATGAAAACTGCCTGAGATAGCATAAGCAGTATGGATATTCTCTCGTTATTCCCCGTTCATCGTTCGAATTTTGTTTGCCGGAATAATCGTGCTATGTGCAATGATAAAAGTTTTTTTCAACCTTCTACAACTAACGGCCATTGCGGCTATGTTCCCGGAAATAAACTTAGTATACCGATTCACAATAAACATTACTGTACAAATATTTTAAACTTTCACTAGTAATAGTAATTATGGTTTTCTTCCATGAAATAAAAATATGTCGATTGATTTTCAATAAACAGTGCCATATGTATGTAATCTATGTACTGTTTTTCTCACATTAGTTTTTAAATACCAAAAGTGTGTTTATCAATATGCCTGCCTAAATGCCTGCCAGATAATATTGAATAAGTAGTTATTATATTATTATTGTTGTGACACATCACATAGGTGCATCTTAAAGTAATAAAATATTATATTATTATTATTTTTGTATGTTTAGTAAATGAAAACTACCAATCAGTATTTTTTTTACTTTTTAGTGCTTTTTTTAAAGTCGGTTTTAATTTTTTTGTTAAAAATTTTTTATTTTTTCCTTCTTAGTGTAGACATAGTAGTAGCAAAGTGAGAAGAAAGTATTTTAATAAAATATTTTTGCTTAAACCGCTTAAGTTACTTCGATGCTAATTTTAATATGAAAACTGACAAACTAAAATTCACTTTTATTATTAACACTAAAAATTCTGGCTCTATAATCCGATTCTAACGAGTTAGGCTTGTCAAATCAAACAAAATAAGCCGAAACTTAAAGTACTATTAGCCGTTACTTTACTATTAGCCGTTGAAGAGTTCCACCTATGCACCTTCTGGCCTTACCCGATCTACGGCCTTACTTATCAGATCAGGTCAACGATACCGAACCACTGCACTATCAACAGAAATAGAAGCACTTGCAAAGTTTCAAGTCAATATGATAATTAGAAGTAGGTTAAATTCATCATTAGGTATTTTTCCACCCTTAGTGGTGTATATTTTTTGAAATTTAAAAGGGACCAATCTGGAAGTATACACTTTCAAACAAAACAAAAATTGTCCAAATCGGTTAATAAATGACGGAGTTCTGAGGTAACAAACTTAAAAAAAAAACATACAGCCGAATTGAGAACTTCCTCCTTTTTGAGGAAGTCAGTTGATAAAAATATCTCCATCAGAAATATTAAAAGTAGATAACCATACTATTAGTTTAAGCACACCCAAAACACAAAAATAAAATTAGAAATAACGAAGAAATTGGGTATTTTGTGGGTATAGAATTAAAATCCCCTCGAGAACATAACTTTCAGATTAATTATAACTCTGACACCACAAGTTAAACGTTGAGTGTAAATAACCAGGAGAACAACGAGGGGTTACTGTATCAATAGAAGATATAGTACTTGCCGAAGATACCCATTCTAGATTTAATGTCTCTTGTCTATGTCAAGGTAGTGGTAGCATAATAGATTTGAAGATCTCGGAATTAGATACTACTTTAAATCAAGAGAATATTACAGTTTCCGACTCAAGTCAAACATTGTTATGCAATTTAGGTAGGATTTCAGAAGATAATGATTCTTGTTCTATCTTGAACCCCGTGGTCCATAACATCTCATCACTAATTCTGCCCTCTGCAAATGAACTACGAAATAGCACAATAAGCTATTTACAAAATATTGAGACTTATAATAATATTATTATTATGCCATTATTTGTCAGACGCACTTGCAATGAATGACATAGTTAGTGGCGAGAAATATAAAGTGATAGAGATGGATCAATCTGACTTTGTCGATATAAAAATACTTATTGAAGGCCGAAATTGGACGCATGACTCTGAGGGAAATAAAATATTGTGGTCCAATATTATGGAAGTAGTTGGGTACTCATGAGGGTATGCTGAACTTAAAATACAGTTTTGAAGATGATTATATTATGGAGTTCCACACGCGTACGGAGTTACACATACAGGGAGCTACAATGGACCACAATTGGTCGACGTAGTTATGGCCGACCTCGGCACCACTTCCAATAAAATGTAATAAATAATAATACACACTCGTGATCTACCAGCCAGATTTCCTACTCGAGACGCCCGGGTACGGTGGACGCACACGAAGTGGACGTTCACGAGGTGCACAAATACTCCGTGATGCTGCTACTCCTACTGCTCAAATTCCAATCGAATCCAAGCTGCAAAGGGCTTACAATGAACCATTTCCTGTGTCTCAGACTTATTAAGTCATTGTAAAAATTATGACACACCACGCCACTACCATGATTTTTATGAGGTTTTGGCATGCGAAACTGTTGAGGATGAAGTACTCGTAGCAGAACATTATTCCCAAGAAGACACACCATTTCTTTATGGATAATTTTGTTATTTCTTTTTGATACCTACCAAGATTGTAATACTTTAATACATTTTAGATCGTAGAAATGTAAATAACCTAAAGACTATGTTATTGTTCTGGTAAATAGGTATATTGGTATTTTTTCTTATGACTTAATTATGCTGTGTCCAAAACTTTAATTAAAAATAATAAATACATAATAATAAATAATTACGTTATATTCTAGATTGATTGCAGTCATTCCAAAACAACCATATTCATATAATGTACACAGCATTCACAAGTACATTTTTCAAGTCGATAATTAAATTCATGTAACATCACTGCAAAACGCTATTACTGTATTTACCATACATCCTCCAGATCAGCGTACAACGTTGCAATAGACTATTGCTGTCTGATTGATTTTGCACTTTTTACCGGAATAAAACCACAATGGATTCTTACGGAAACGACATTCAATGTATGAAGCGGCAATATGATTTTTTACTTGTTTTTAGGTATTTCCTTAGAATTATAAGCTTATGTACATTATATATCCCTCCAGAAAAAAATAACGCATCTTTTGATATATAAACCGTTTTGATGAGCCTCGTAGTTTAGTAATTATTCATGATTTTCACTAAATCTTTTTTCCTGTAAAATTGTATTTTGTCGATTGCGGCTTTGTTCCAATAACCCATCGATATATTCAGCCTCTGTATCGATAATAATGACTATTTCAATAAGGTTTTCCAAAAAACTTAGAATTTTATCGAGATAGAAAGTGCAAATCTTTTTTAACGTGATTATCACTTGTGTTACGGTGAAGGAAAACATCGTGAGGAAATCTGCACGTCTGAGAAAACCTAGCAAGTTTCCGCTAACCCGCACTTGGCCATCGTGGTGGACTATGGCCTGATCCCTAGTATTGAAGGGAGACCCGTACCCAGCAGTGGGACGTTACAAAGGGCTGAATACAAATAAAACATAAACCAGAATTTATGGTATTTTATTTATTATTTTCAGATAATTCTAGTCGAATTAGTTCGCGACAAACGAGGCAAGGGAATCGGTGATAAGTTCCTATCAGGCTCTCTTATATCGGGTTGGTTATGGGAGAGCTACACGACTATCGGAGTGTTCACTTTTGGTGCCGCCTGCCAACAGTTTACTGTCAATTCCACGAAATACGTCATTGGAAGGCTTAGACCGTATTTTTTTGATGTAAGTAATAAAACTTATTATATTAACAAATAATAATATATTAAAGCGACATAAGAATTTTATGTAATTAGCGAGGTTTTACAATTGCAGATCATATGTTATCGATTTGAGATCAAGCTAATAATGATATCGTTTTTTTTTAAAATAGTCGATGTGGTTTAGAATGCAATTGGAAGTGTTACATTTTCCTCCTTCGGGTTGTATCTAAAGCCGCTAGTTCTAAGCTTAGATTGCCATCTAAACGAACTATTAGAATACATGCCTATAGCTTGAAAATACACCTAGCTTTCCTTATTAAAATGTTCTCTTTAAAACCTTTTTTTAATAATGATTATTAACTTAAAAATGGGATATGCTTATAAGCAACTATTGATGAGGTCACAGTTTGTCATGGTAGAGGTTATAAAGATTTTATTAGCCAGAAAGACAAAGTTATTTCGCTTTTTAATAAATATAATTACCAAATGGTAATTATATTTATTAAAAAATCTTCCAGAAATGCTACTAATCGTAAAGTTTATTGAGGTGATTAGCTTTGATAGTGAAATATTACTAAAAACAATAACAAAAATATCATAGATACTATATGGTAAATGCTTGTTGATTTATTATTTATCGATAAGTTTAAACAATGTAAAATAAATGTCATGGATGTATAAAACAATGCTAAAAAATGAACTATTTACCACTTTCGGAATTGCTGGATTCGAGTCTCAGGTCGGGCCAAGTTTAGTTATTGAGTCTTTCTATGAAAGCCTTGTGCTATGAAGTTGGCGGTGTTTCACTACCATGTCTCGGAAAACACGTAAAGCTTTGTCCTGCGCCTGATGTGTCACCGGTCGTGTCGAATTATCGTCCCGACACTATCAGCAGTACGGGAGATGTACTGCGCCGATCCCAAGTGATTGGGAAATGGCAGGGAGATGATGATGATGGAATTTTAGAGTATGCTGGTGTCTGCGGTCACTTGTGCACTATAATATCTCGTGCACATCTGTTTAATCTCAGTGAGATTGGGCGCCGTGGCCAGAATCGGTCAGGAGTATAATATCATAGCAACGCTAAAACTTCTGCACCATGCAATCGAACCTTGGCAATTGGTATTTGTGTATAGAGAATAATTTTACGTTATTCAATTACGCGTTGACCGCTAAAGCGGGGAAAAGCTCGGGAAAATGTAAATGAAAAAAAGAAACTTAATAAAAAAAATCTATTCCAGATATGCAGGCCGATCCCGGACACATCTTCAAATTTAAACTCCTTAGGTTATATCCAGGCCTTTACTTGCCAGAACACCAATGCGGCAGAATTGAAAGAAATGCGGCTTTCCTTCCCTAGCGCTCATTCAAGTTTTGCCATGTACAGCGCTATTTTCTTTATTGTAAGTAAATGTACATTTGTGGTGACAAATGATTGAAAAATGTTTACCTAGCTAATTTTTTAATAACCAAAGTTTCGTTTTTATGTATCTATTTTCCCATGACATCTTGATGTAAGGGAATAAAATATACTCTATTTTACATCACTCTAAAATCATGAAATATCTTTGCGAAAAATTCACTTTGATCCGTTGCTGGGTGAAAGAAGTACATTTGAACTAATAATTACTTGACATACTTACTTAACTAGAAAGTATTCAATTATTATCACTGATCTTAAACCTAATGGAAGATTTAATAATACATCGCGGGTTGGAGTTTACAGATAAACAATAACGAAATAGATGCATAATTCTTTTTAATCGTACATTTTTGGAACATATATATGTACATATATACATGTATATCGTTTTAAAGTAATCTTTTAACATGCTTTAATTAGCATTTTAAATAAAAGTATCTTTTCGGATTTTTTCGCGGATTTATTTGATTTTTGGTTCCCGACGTTTCGAAAGCTTTACAGCAATCATGAAATAATAAAGAATTAATAGAATAAAAAAGACAAGCTACTTTTATTCCGATCTATTATCTATCCGATCTAGTATACATATATCTAAGTGAATCCCGTGGGATAACATAAAAACTGACTTATTTAAAATAGATACTTATAAATCTTTGATACCTAAAAAAATCGTTAGTAAGTAATAAACAAATATCTTATAACAGTTCTACGTGCAAGTGAAGGGAAAATGGCGGGGTTCGAAATTACTGCGTCACACCATGCAGTTTGCTGTTTTAATGGGGGCGTGGTATGTGGGACTCACGCGTGTGGTCGAGCACAAGCACCATTGGAGCGACGTGGCCGTCGGGTTCGCTGTTGGGGCGATATACGCGGTTATTGTTGTAAGTTGTTATGATTTTTTTCCTTTATTATCATTAAAACTTTTACATTTTTTGAAGTGAAACTTCTTTAGAATTGTTGTGATTTGAAACTCGATAAACCGAAAATACGACACGAGAAAAATACAACGACAAATATATAGGATTAAGCCGGCGAGAGAATGAGATAAAATACATTGCATACTTTTATGGCTAATTGTTGCCATGGTAACCGTTGCTATTGTATAACAAATCTATACATATAATAAAATTGTAACTAAGCCGAATCTGTACATTAAATATTTTTTGGATAATCTTACTATTGAAGTAGACATTATTGTCGATACGGAGGCCGAATCTATAGTTTTTAGAATTTTTGTCTGTCTATCTGTCTGTCTGTCTGTCTGTTATCGGACCACAGAAAAACCACTGGAGGGATTTTGATGAAATTTGATATGGTGATAGCTGGTTATCCGGGTCAACATGTAAGATCATATGAACGCGGGCGGAACCGCAGGCAATGCTAGTGATATATAATATTATATTTTTCCCGTATATAATAAATTTATGATTTTATAGAAATTAATATATGATTGTAATATGCCTAACATCCCTTTTATTGATTTGTTTTAATTTAATTGTGGTATTTGCCAAAGAAGTTTTACTTGTGTTTTTTCTAGTATGACTAATTTCCACATATAAATTGAATACGTATTTGTCTAAAGCTATCCCCTGCAACTGCATGAACAGTTTTATTTTTTTAAATATTTGTACATCTATACAATATTTGTGTCAGATACAATATCATCCCAATATCTGATTGGATTATGAATAAGTTATATTATAATTATTTCTTTTAGTAATAATATATTTTTTTCTATTACAGTTTGTTTTTATACTCAAGCCCAAAAAATATGGACCTCCAGGAGATTGGGAAATCACACAACCTCAAATATTACCACGACCAGTGTTAGCCTCTAGTAATTATTAATCCCTCCACGGCCGCGGACAATCTTAGAAATCTAATTTGTTTCTTAGAAATCTAATTTGTTTTTAGAAATTTACCTGGAGGTGTTCATTTAATGCCTAAAAAAATATTAAAGTGACAGTATTCTTGATTTCTTTTAGCAGAGCAATTTTTCGTTGTATATGAGAAATGTTAGAGAGCTAAGAACCTAATACGGTATGACTATTATTTACGACTTAACAAGAAACTTAAGAAAACCTATAACAACAGCAAAGTGTGTTTGATTAATGAATTGTAGGTTTTAGAGTTAATTTTTATTTTAAGCAATTGCCTAGGTATATAGTGTCGTGGTCAAAGATTCGAATGTCTAACTAAAGTATCGCTCGTATAAGCATGCTAATAATCCACTTTCACTTTAAAATATGTTTATATGTGACTTGTCCTATAAAAGTGTTAATTAGATAATAAGGAAATGATTTTATGACGTATTTAAATATCTCTTAGACGAGTCCTGAAAATAATTCCAAAATAATATGTTAGTTCCATGTAACCAAATCAAATTCAGTATTTCTTATTGTTTCGTATAACTCCTAAGTCCTAAACTTACATTTAAACATTTCCCGTCCTCTAGATTGGGAAAATATGTATGGAACGTGACAGACGGATAGACACGAGTGATCATTTAAGAGTTTCCATTTTTACGTCATGTATGCAGAAACATTAAAATAAAATTTAGTTATAGGTATATTAAACTTTTCTAATGAATTAAATAAGTTCATTCAACGTAATGCTGACAAAAAACGCGACGCATAAGATATTTGGCTGAATCTAAAAGCATGAAATTTCGCACAAGAGTTCGAGATAACGAAAAAGTAGTTGAAAGCTTGCATGGAAGCCATTTTTAAAGTTAATAAAGCTTTAGTTTATATCGAGTAACTCCGAAACCGATGACGACTAGACACAATATATATATATATATATATATATATATATATATATATATATATATATATATATATATATATATATATATATATATATATATATATACCTATTATCTATAGATTATATTGAACTCCGCGTGTAGGATATTTTTTTGTTTTTAACATTAAATAGAAAATTTAAGAAAGGTATAAGTAATAAATTGTAATTTCAAAGTACACAGTATATACATACATACATGCTAATGACTGTTATGTGTGATTTGTCAAAACAAACGAAATGGGCCAAAATTCGATTCTTACTTATATTAAAGAGATCTACTATCTTTCTTGACTCTTTCATCAGATCAGTATATCAATATGAAATATAAATGTGAAAGGCACCTAAAGTCGTATAGGACTACTACATAATAAAGTACAAAATATTTACATAAATTGATAAAATTTTTACAATAATTTGTTTAGTGGGTTTTTTATTGTGTACTTTATTTTATATTTTCTAACATATTGAACATATATTATGTTGAATTGACCGTACTTTTGTATATGTAATCTGTTGTCACACATGTTCTTTATTTATTAATATTAAGGACTTAGTCATAGAAAGAAACTCTACTGATAATCTAATATTATAAAGATGAAAAATTAGTTTTTTGTTTGTTTGTGTCTAATATTCTTCGAAACTACTGAACCTATTTAGATTTGGTAAGAAGAAGAAGAAGAAGAATGACATAGGATAGGTTTTATCCCGAAAATCATACCTTAAGGAGGTGACAATGGGGGTGAAAGTTTGTATGGGGAAGCAACCTAAGGACGAAACCGAGCAAAGCGAGTGTGAGTCGCTAGTGAAACATAAAATCGTCACTGAAAAAATAATCTCCTTCGGTCGTCTTCTATATACTATATACTTAAAAAAAGATGGATATAAATCTGTGTTTTGAAAATTAATTTTCGAACCTATATTTGGCACATTTATTGTTTGAGAGAACATTTTTTGTAGAAATATATATGTTGTTATTTGACATGATACTATTATTTATCTATTACAAATATTTACTTGTACTATTTCTATCACATCTTATACTTAAGCGTCTATTTATTTACTATTGTTACTTATACACTCAATTTTCTTTTTATGATAAACTTCACTTTGGGCAGCTATAAATTAGTTTTTAATATATTATAAGTTTAGATGTTATTATTTTTGTACTTAAATTATAGTATTGTTAGATTTGTATACATGTAAAATATAACTGTATATAGTATTAATGTGTTTTTAATAACAATATCCATTAATCAAACCCGGGACTCCCACATTCTCTCATGTACAAATAATTTCCAATATGATTACTTGCCATATAAATGATGACATCGTAATTAAACCTGCATGACTGAGAGAAATTAACTAGTTCTAGAAAGACATGAGAAATATGATGTATACTGATCCGTAAAAATTTAATTTCGGCCAGCAGACTATGACTTGATACCTCTCATTGAGAGGAAACCTTTTTTTTAATTTTGGGAAATGCATTTACGCATACCACCTGCGTACATACAGATGGTTATGTGATACTTGCCGCCCAGGAAAGCTCATACTTACCCACTAAGACCTAACGGAACTTCCCCCGTCTGGGGCGAAGCAGGATCGCTTACGCTCTCAACCACGACGCCCCGACGCGCGGCAGGTTTGCCGAAGTAGACGACAACAAGCATGTGGTTGCCCCCTTGGTCCACACTGATATCAGAAAAGTATCAGGAGCAACTCATATTGGACGCCGCCCTCCGAAGTGAGCCTTCTCCCAGTATCTCTTTTGGCTTTACGTGTTTATTTTTCTAACCAATGCTTAAGGATTATGTAAAATACATCAAACAGAAACGATATATCAACGATAATAATCAACGCCCACATACTACTCATTGGCTGACACTACCTCTATAAAGATCAAAAGTTCGATGGGAAACGGGAGCTCAAAGTGACGGATAATGATAGCAGTGTCGTAAAAATTTAAAAAACCCCTAACGCAAATTAATTGTCATTTAACGATTACACTGGCACACGTGAAGCACTTAATCAAGTAATCATACGCCAAAATGCCTTACATCCTTTTGGAAAAGAGCTGATACTCTTACACTGTTGGATCGATATTAACCAAACATAGCTAAGAACCACTGCAAGGAAACTGGCTTTCAAATGAAAAAAACCGCATCAAAATCGGTCCATCCATTTGAGAGCTACGATACCACAGACAGACACACACACACAGACAGACAGACATCGACGTCAAACTTATAACACCCCTCTTTTTGCGTCGGGGGTTGAAAAGAAACGATACACGTACGAAATACGCATCCATACTTTCAAATCTTTTTATGATAAAACTTTTATATCACTGTTATGGCATATACAAAAAAATAACATTTTATGTAATCGGTTTTTTTTCTATTTTTTATATTATTTGCGTGTATCTTTGATATTTTAGCTTAGGTACCTACTATTTAATAATAATCAGCAATTTACATAACAAATATATATATATATATATATATATATATATATATATATATAAATATAAATATATATATATATATATAAGTTATTTTATGATGCCGCATAAGGTCAGTCAGTTATTGCAGATCTTACAATTTGTTTTTCCCGGTTTACTTAAAACAAAGTGTTATACGGAAAAATTATTCTACAAATGACGTAACAGTGTTCTGTTACTACGCCATGAGCCGCTTAAACATAATTTGTGACTGTTTTGGTTATTTTAAATACATACCACACGTTTGGCTCAGTTTGTAGTGATCCTACTTGCTGTGCCAGCGGTCGCGGGTTCTAGTCCCGCTGGGGGCATTCATTTGTGTGATGAGCACGAATATTTGTACTCCAGTCATGGGTATGGGTCAGTATTTATAATATGTATGTATTTAAAAGTTATATATGTATAATGTATCAACTATCTGGTACCCATAACACAGGCCTCGTAGCTCACCATGGAACTAGATGGTGTTGTGTGTTGTCCTGACATATTTATACCATCTTGGTCTAGTGACCCCTGATAAAAGCGAATTAGTGAAATTCTTAAGCTGTTAGGGTCCTGGTGGACGTTAAAATAAAGAGTGGACTGTATTATGTTTTTAATACTATGGTACAATCGTCGTTAGTCGTTTACAAAAGAATATGGAAGGCAAATTATTTATTTTACTCCACTCGTTACGTCTACTGTTGCGTTTTACGCAACACAAGCATATCTCCAAAAGCAGATTGATCTTCCTCTGATATATCACCTTACCGCACCACCACACCACCAGCTTCTCATACCATTAAACTATGAGATTTAAGATTTATAACTATAATATCTTCCTAATATATGGATGCGCTGTACCTGCTGTGAGTTGTGATCCTAAATAGACACAATTATTGCTTGTAAGTTTTTATAACTCATCCAGTAATTTTATATAGTCATGAAGCTACTAGCAGACACAAATCTATCCCACGGGAACCCTACATTTTTCGGAATAAAAAGTAACCTATGTGCTATTCTAGAATATAATCTATCTCAGTGCCAAATTTCATCCAGATCCGTTCTGCCGTTCTGGCGTGATTGAGTAACAAATATCCATCCAAACATCTAAACTTTCATATTTATTAGTAAAATGACATAGCTTTATAGAGTTATAAAGCTATGGTAAAGTGAATTTGACACCCAAAAATAAGATGCAAAGTTTATTATATCGTCGTACATTGATTACTAACACACATACGAGTATAATATGTACATATATCTTAATTATCCTAAGGCTGCACACTGTGGAATTGACCTGTAAAGTTAGAAAAAAATTAACATCGTCCGTAACTTATTTAATATCTGCAGTGAAAAGAAAAAAAATAATCTTTAAATAAAGCAGCACTTTTATCAGTTTTAGGCGTACACAAGTGGTAGGTGTATATATTATAATTCCTTCTAGCGGCTTAACCCAATCGAGGTTACCGAAGCCGAAGCCGGCCACCGGATATATCACTGATAAAAGATTTGTAATTATTCACTATACAGATACTCTGAAGACATAACATATAAA